CACTACATACATTCTGGCACAGAAGGGAAACTTTGGACTTGCCAGGCACAGCATTCTGAAACCAAATACATGCAAATGTGTGATCATTTCCCTCTGTGGGGCCTAATATCTCATCTGTCCAATCACAGAGGCTGCAGAGGAAAAAGAAGCCACACTGTGCAAATGCCGAGATTTTAAATAAGGCAGCACAACTGTTTATTGTGTCAAACATAGTACTAGTGAGACAACTGATGCCCATTGATTTCCATGCTGCTACATGGCCCTGGTGTTGCTGTTTCTCATATTGTACAGTAGACCTGGAAGTACACCTCAAATAATTTATTGGTTATACATTGTTAGTGGTAAGAGAGTGACACCTAGTGCTTAGATCTGCATATTTGCTTTCTTTTTTTGCAAAAGGACGGACAAAAGAAAAAAGCAACTTGGTGGTTGCCTGAGTGCATCTTGATAGATTTTTTTATTTTCTTACAAATGTGACATTCAATTGACCTCACAGAGCAGCTGCTTTATCCTTGAGTTCTGTTGCTTTTCATGGCCTCGCCTACCCAACAGTGATAGCTAATCTTCCCGTGACAGAGCTAGGAAGATTCAGCAGAGAAAATAATTTTCAGCTTTCCTGTACTGGGAGTTTGGAGGAAATAATTACTTCCTTTATGTCAGAAAACTGACCCCAAAGCATCTGACAGACTGGAACCACTACATGAACGATTAGTCGAACACAATTACAATCAGAAATCTAAACGACATTCATGTATCATCTCTTAATATTAGAATAAAACCTTGTCTCACTGATAACACAGGTAAATATGATCATTTTAAACCATACCCTCTTTAATTAATGAGCCCATAATCCCTTGGAAGGGATCCCAGAATTCCCTCCACGGGTGGAGAGAAAAATTCTGCCCTTTCAAAGAAAAAGTCTGAAAGGGAGATCCTATTCATAAATTCAATTGAGGTGAAATTCTGTGCCTCTTTAAACATAAAAAGGCCTACAACTTGAATTCCTGGACAAGACACCGGATTCAGCACACTACAACCCAATCTTGGGGAACAAAACCAGTTTATTAAAGTATAAAACATAGGACACTAAAACATTCAGACTAAAGAAACAGAACAGGGGAAAGTGGAGAAAGGGAGGGGGGAGTTGGAAAGCAGCAACAGTACAACTCACAGCCAACCAAGCACCCCCCAACCCCAAGGCCTTGTTGACCCACTTGAACTAGAAAACAACAAAGCTAACCTAGCCTCAGCTAAACACAGAAATTCTACCTCAAAGACAGGCAGGGTGCACAGGGCTTCACAGAGTTATTTAACACAGGCAGCAGGCAGCAGTACGGATCCCCCAAGGAGAAACAAAGAACCTCTCTGTTCTCCAGCCTTTATCCCTCACCACTGGCCAACTATTCCTCAAGCCCATCTCCCAGTCCTTGGCCCAACTATCGGTTCCAGGTGTCAGTCATTAACCAGTCATTCCAGTTATCTTCAGTGTCCTTCAGGCCATTTCTGATAACTCCCCAAAATACATCATAAATCCTTACTGAGCTGGCACCTGGATTTATAACAGGTAACCATTATAGCATTAACCCCTCCCGGTTTCCTGTGAGTCCAAGGGCCAGATCATGTTACAACATACCATGCTGAAATTTGCAACTGGGTTCTTATGACAGAAAACATCAATAAGAGTGCTACTGTTCTTGGGGAAAGCAACGGACATATCAGAGAGTCCACCAGTAGTCAATATGTGCATGTAATAAACAAACAAGATAAAATTAAATAATCATCGGCATATATTTACTAACCATGTGAATCTTATGTGGGGGTTGAGGGGTCTAAACTGGAAGCTATACCCAATGCTAAGCAAACCACTTGTATTTACGAGGGGCGTTCAATGTATTCTCAGTATCGGGTTGATTTGCTATTGATGTGGGTAATTTCATTATTTCATTAGCTAATGACACTATCTGAGGATATACATGCAAAATTTCAAATAAATGTGATCATTAGTTTCCTAGTAATCCTCAGTGAAAGACGACCATAATGACTGACGCGACAATGTTGAAGAAAATCGAGCACCGCGCTGTGATTAAGTTCCTTACAAAACAAGGAAAAAGTCAAAAAATCATTCAGGAAGAGATGGTGGCCGTTTACCAGGACTCTGCACCTTCATTATCTACTGTTCAAAAGTAGTCAAGTGAATTTAAAAGAGGCAGAGAAGGCACTGAAGACAACCCTCGCTCAGGCGGGCCGGTTACTGCCATTATGAAAGAAAACGTGAAAAAAATTGAGAAACTTGCATTGAAAGATACCCAAAAAAACCCCAAAGTGTTAGCAGAGATGACAAACCTATCCATTGGTACCATAGTTACTATTTTTCATGAGCATCTTAACCTTTCAAAGGTCTGTGCAAGATGGGTGCCGTGAATGCTCATGGCGCCTCGGAAACAAGTGCGCATCGAGTGCTGTAGGGAATTTTTAGAGCTCTGTGGTGAACATCCATCAAGTATTTTTGACCCGATTGTTACTGGAGATGAAACTTGGGTTCATCACTATGACCCTGAAAGTAAGCAGGAGTCCATGCAGTGGCATAAAAAAGGTGCTGACCCTCTGAAGAAATTCAAAGTCACTCCATCAGCCGGAAAAATCACGGCCAGTGTTTTGGGACTGAAAGAGAATTTTATTGATCGAGTACACGAAAAAAGGTGAAACCATAAATGCAGCATCTTACACAACCACTCTGCGTAATTTAAGAGAAGCAATTAAAGAAAAAAGGCGGGGAAAACTGACTGCAGCTGTGTTGCTTCTTCACAACAACGCGCCCGTTCACACGGCGCGTTTCAAAGGCTGCTGTCCAAGACCGTGGTTTCGAAGAAATAAACCACCCACCATATAGCCCGGACCTGGCCCCCAGTGACTACTACCTATTCCCAAATTTAAAAAAAGATCTTCATGGAAAGCGATTTTTCGACGATGAAGAGCTCAAGGCGGCAATTAATGCACATATTTTAGACAAGGAGGAAGGGTATTTTTTTACAGGGAATTGAAAAGTTAATTTTTATATGTAATAAGTGTATTGAAGTTAAGTGGATTTACACTGAAAAATAAAAATTATTTCAATTTATTATTCCTTTTTCTTCATTCTGATACCGAGAATACATTGAATGCCTCGTATTTCAAAGAAACTTATTTTTAAAGACAATGGCAGTTTGTCTGTCCCAGAAATGGCTGATTTCTGGAAATATTCTGTTGTTGATATGAAAAGTTCAGAGAAAGTTTGGGTAAGTGTATGAAAGTGTATGAAAACTGTGGTTGCCCCACATGGGTTTCGTCTTCTTGAGCAGGTAATTTTCCTTTTTTTTCTTTTTTGCTTTTGCTGTTGGCGATTTAACAAAATAGTATAACAGTTGACACATTGCTTAATGTGCTATAATGCAATTTTTCTTCATGACAACTGAAATGGAAAAAATTATGACCTCCAGCAGGGATATAAACTGCAACTGTTTGAAGTCATTGTCAATTTGTTTCTAAGCCATCTACAATATTTATGTATCAGATAAATATTATTTATTCACACACAGAAAACCAAAGTTAAGAGCACATCCTATGTATATTTAGACAGAAGTAAGTTTTACCACTTCCTGAATCCCTTAGCCAACACAACTTGAGTCCTAAATTAGAAGAACTGGCATAATTATAATGGCATTTTTGTATGTTCCTTTAAATACATCTCGTGTTAGAAATGCAACAGTTCCATACTATTTAAATAAACTTTAAATGTATTGTGGCACAAGCTTCCACAAGGACCTATGGCATCAAGTATACAGTTTTTTTGACATTCAAGATAGACCATGCCTGTTTCCTTCACCTTCCCCAAGAATTTTGTTAACATTCAGGAAGGCAGGTGTGGGGAAGTTCTTTTTCCTGTTGGGAACTACTTTTTCCATTCCTTACAAGATGAGTGCCAGAGTGACCTCAACCGAAGCCAAATGATGAGAACAATGCCTTTTTCTCTTCCTGCTACTTGTCTTCTCCTTCCTGTAAAGACCTCCCAAAGTAGCTCAGATCATTCTTGCCAGAGGTCTGAGTTTAAATTGTGCAGATTCAAACCGGCGACCTATTGATCAACCAGCACAGCAGCACAGCAATTTAAACCACTGCACCACCTGCAGTCCCGATTGCTTGTAGGGTTATGCAATTAAACTAAAGGCTTCACAGTGTTAGGCTGAGGATCACAGGCTGCCAATCCCCCATGGTGTCAGAAGTCCATTTTTACTACAAAATACTAATGACCTCCTTTCACTTTTTCCCTTATATGATAGGATATGTGTCTCACCCCAATTTGCCAATACTGGGGTTGACATTTTAATATATGCTTTAAGACTACTTACTTATCTCCTGGGGAGAAAAGCTATCAAGAACTACTATTCATGGACACTAAGTTTGTATTCTCTCTCTATCAGAGACAAGATGCCTCGACAGTGCCTTGCAACAGTATTCACTTGCCTTTGCCTTTCCCCCATTTTGTTCTGTTTCAACCTTGAACAGAAATGACGCTTAAGTCAGTTCGGCACACAATGCAGCTTCTACACCACAGGCCCCAGCTCTTTTGTGCGGCTCTCTAACCTGCTTGTTTACTGCCTCAAGGCATTTTCCCTCAAATCCACTGTTTTCCCTGTCCCAAGCAGCACCGTCTATATTGCTGTTTTTCCTATTCCTTCCGTACAAAAACCACAATAGCAACGTTCTTTCTTCTGCTCTCCTTAAATCGGAAGGCTAATAATTTTGTTACACTTCAGGCATTAAGGCCTTCATGTCGCAGAATACTGAGGATCGCTATCCGCAACCACCTAGCTCTTTTCATCCCACCCGCGCGCTACCAAGCATGCGCAGCAGCCGCCTCGCTAGCCTTTGGCGCCCGCGCTTTCCTCTCGCCGGGTCACGTGAAAGCACGTGTCCAATCGCGGGGCTCGGCGCACGCCGACTCTGTTTTCTCGCTTCCGTTTCCAGCGGCAAGATGGCGGCGTCCGGGGGAAGGCGCTGGCTGTGCAGCGCTCGGCCGTGGCGGTTGCTCCACACGGAACCCTCAGCGGCAGCACCGCCGCCTTCTTTGCCGTCTGACACGGCTGCTGTTGAAGCTGCCGCGCCTTCGTCGCTGTACCCGCCGGTGGTGGCTTCTCTCACGGCAAAGAGCCATGCCGCCAAGCTCCGGCGCCGGGAGCGTTTCTACCAGCAGATTCACGACGCGCCCTCCGTCCAGGAGAAGCTGCGGCTCTACGGGAAGCGACAGCGCCTCAAGTACGTGGTCTACCCGCAGACCTGGGCGCTGAATGCGGACCGCTGGTACCAGAACTTCACCAAGACCGTCTTTGTGCGGGGGCTGCCCGCGCCGGTGGCGGCGGCGGAGGCAGCGAAAGAAGACAGTAGAGACGGCATTGGCGGCCTGGATCTGGCCGAGCTGAGGTCCGTGGTGTGCGACGTGCTCCTTCAGGAGCATTTCTACCAGTGCAAGCGGCGGCCGTACCTTTTCCGCACTGTGGAGGTGGGGCCAGAGCCCTTCCTCACCAATCTGGTGCCAACCCTCATCTCCCACCTGGTCAGTGCCAACCCGATGCTTGGCACCTCTTCCACCCTAGGTGTGTCTCAGAATTGTTGTTTGAGAGAAATGTGCGTGCGGATGTTTGTGCGAGAGAGAAGCAGGGCCTGGGTTCTTTCAATACGACCCTTTCTTACTAGGGAGGAAATTCATTGAGGTCAGTGAGGCTCAGTTTTGCGTGACACGTTTAGGATCCCACACATCTATATACAAGTAAGATGGAAGGCAAAAATAGTTCTGTGAAACTTCTGCTTTGTTTGTAATTTGTTTATGTTAAATGTGAGCTTGCAAAATGCTTTACTGTATGAAACAAGTCAGTGTTTTCCTTCCCAGTGTAGGAGTGGTGGTGGTGCTGAGGCTGAGAGAGAAGCTGTGTGAGCAACACTATAGAAGCCTTCCCCAAGGTGTTTTAGGGATGTGTTGGCTACTAGTTAATAGCATGGCCAGCTGGTGCATACTGCGGTTTTAGTTGTGACACATAGGGAAGGAAGAAGCCCAATTAAGGAAGGCTTTGATATGAATACAGCCAGTATGCTTGGTGACTGGTCAGCATCATGGCATCAAAAGTTCCTGATCTCTTGGACTGCATCTATTAATCTGAAATTAAAAGAAATAAATATATGTTAGGTGTAGAGATTTTCAGCAGTGTGCCTCTTCTCAAGCATGCATTCTTTCAACCCATGTTGAATTATCTTAAGGGACTTTACCAGCATGTCTCCAGCCTCATAGGGTATAACTAAGTTAAGAATTGAATGGCAGACATGTATCTAATTCTGCTGTTTAGTATATTTAGTGTTAATTGGTCATTCTGCTATTGCTTAATTTTAACAATATTTCATAGCTTAAAAATTAACCACTTCAAAAATCAGGCTGAGACATTCTTTTTTAATAATTGTGGATATCCATATAATGAATGATTGATTCGATTGATGCAGTGGGGATGAAGGGTTAGTCTTAACTTAGATCACATTTATTTCAGTAGATCTGTTTCATATATGACCAAGATTGGAGCCAATACCAAAGTGTTAGATAGAACATATCTGGCATTTTCAAAATGCTTCTCACATACACACACACACACACACACACACACATATATATATATAAACTGTTACAATTAGTCTTAAATTTTTGGGAAACTTTTACTTGCCCTTCCACTGAAGAAAGATGTCTAGCCTCAACATAGTTTGAAATTATTTAACTTTCCCTTTGAGCTGTTGTTTGATGCATAGACTTAACCAGAAAGAACAGTATGTGGAAAGGTAATGGGTTGAAAAAACAGTTTCATGCTTGCATACTTCAACCCTGGGTTTGCTGTTGTGAATGCAATGAATGAAAATATGTTTATAGAAACCCTATACCAAAGATTTTGTGGGAAAGTATTTTTTAGCAAGTATCTTGGTATGAAAATTATTAGCTATGCAACTTCAGAGTTGCTCTATGCATGGTATGGATTTAATCCAACATCTTGATTTAAAAGGGGATGCAGGTGGTGCAGAGGTTTAAACTGCTATGCTGCTGGGCTGGTTGATCGAAGGGTCGCCATTTTAAATTTGCACAACGGGGTGAGTTGAGTACCCGTTGCTCCATCCCAGCTCCTGTCAACCTTACAGTTCGAAAGCATGCAAATGCAAGTTTGACTGGTAGTTACAGAAAACTGGGCATTGTTAGAAGGGTACTAAACCAAAACTGCCTAGACAGTGACTCAAGCTAGGTCATGTGTCTCTTTCTTCATGGCTGTTAAGGTAATTGTTATTAGTTATTGTTATTACACGCAAGTCAGTTGTGAAATTAGGTCTACAGTCCTACATATGTTTAGACAGAGAAAAATCATACATCTCTCATCATGCTGGCAGGAAATGCTGGTGGTTGTAGAATGGGTTTCTGCCTAAACTTGCATAGAATTTTACCCTAAGCAAATGTGAGAAATAAATGCTATGGCGTCAAACTTTTAGACTCAGTTTTCTTGTCATAACTTCTATTTCAGGAGGTAAGGCATTAGAGCATTCATTTTCCCATTCATCTGTTCTTAATTTTACTGGAATTACTGATAAGTTCTATATTCTTAAGTTTGGAAGTATATACAAATATTCAGCCTTTGAGGGCTTTGCGTAGTTGTCTTGAGCTGCAGTTTATTTATTAATTATATTTATATATCACTTTTTTCTGTGAGTGACCCAAGGTGTTTTACATAAACCTTCTCCTCTCTATCTTTTTCTCACAACCCTGTGATGTAGGCGGGGCTAAGGGAAAGTGGCTGTCCCAAAGGCATCCAATAAGTTTGATGGTTGATTAGGACTAGAACCTGGATCTACTGAGTCCCACTCCAGTACTCTATCCACTACACCACACTGGTTAGAAGAGGGGTGGAGAGCCTATTGCTTTCCATATATTGTTGGATTTCAGCTTCCATCATCCCTGTCTAGTTGGCATGCTAGCTTGAGCTAATGAGAGTTGGAATCCAGTAATCACACATTCCTGTCGGGCTTGGACAAAAATGGATAAATATTTAAGGAGCAGATCGTAATTCACTGATGGTGTGTATGCAGAATTTTGTTTTGCTTTCTTTTAAAAATATTAATAATTAAATTATACAATATAAAATACATCACTAACAACAAGTTTTAAAAACCCACAAAAAATGAGCACAGGGGTCAGAAGGGGTCTCCTGGGCCATCTAGTCTGATCCCCAGCACAAGCTGACTCCACTCATATAATGTCCAACATGTAGGTGTTCAATCTTCCTTGAATGCCCTCACTGATGGGGCCTCCACCACCTCCCATGGAAGCCCTTTCCATATCCAAGGGGTCCTAACTGTCAGGAAGTACTTCCTGACATCCATCCTCAAGCCCAGTTCCTTTAGCTTTGCACCATTGAGCACGTCCTCTCCACCACAGGGGAGAACAGCTCATGACCCCCTTCCTTGTGTCATCCTTTCAGATACCTGTAAATCTCCATAAGATCCCCTCTGAGTCTCCCATTCAAGCTGAAAATTTCCAGTTCCCTCAGTCTCATCTCATATGGCATCCTCCCCACATTCTAGCTCCCATCCTTGTGATCCTGCACTGAACTGATTCTAACTTTGCTATATCCTTCTTACAATGTGGTGTCCAGAATTGGACACAGTAGTCCAGTTGTGGGTGCACCCGAGTCTTTTAGAGCAGCACTAGCACCTCTCTCAATCTGGAAGTCTCACCCCTGGCTATACATCAAAGGATAGCACTCACCCTCTTAATCACTGTGTCACACTGCTGGCTCATTTTTAGTCTGGTGTCGACAAGTACCCTGAGATCCTTTTCACAAATGCTGCTCTGTAGCCACTTGTCCCCATCCTGTATCTATGACACTTACTCCTGATTCCCAAGTGCAATGCTTTGCACTTGTCTGTATTGAAAGCCGTCCTGTTGTCCCCTGCCCACTTCCACAGTTTGTTCATATCCTTTAGGATCTGGAGTGCCTGCTCCTCTGTTGTAGCCACTGCCCACACTTTGGTACGGTCTGCAAATTTGGTCACCTCGAAACCTTGTCATAGAACTCCTCAAGGTTTGTCTGTCAGAACCTATTTTTTCAGAAACCAAGTTGCATGGCTACCAACCTCCCTTCCCTATCCAGGGTTTCTAGAGCTTGCTTTATTATTAGTTTTTCCCATCATCTTTCCCAAATGGACATAAGGCTAACTGGCTTGTAATCAATAATTAAATTATATATAATACTGAACACGAATGGTGCACTCCCACACTGGGATCTTCAGTTACATGATAATAAACTCCCTTCTCTTTTTCATCTTCTTTCCTTTCCCTCTCTCAGGAAGACCCGTTCCCCAACCAAAATTGCATTGAATCATACAAAGGTTTAATACCCTTCCCTTTTGTTGATATCATTGAATTGTTGATATTCAGTAAACAACCCCCTAATGTCATCAAAATTATTCTAATATACCAACCCTTTTTTTTACCTTAATACTACATGTTAACTTGTCCTTAGTGGCTATATTCCAAATTTCCTTATACCATTAACTTAATTGGAAATCATGTTTTTCCTTCTCTTTCTTTGCTTTTATTAATCTTACAGCTGTTAATAAATTTATTCTTTAATATTCCATTTCCAATTCCTTTCGTGAAATTTGTTGTTAGTCGCGAAGTCGTGTCTGACCCATCGTGACCCCATGGACAACATTCCTCCAGGCCTTCCTGTCCTCCACTATCCGCCGGAGTCCACTATTTTTTGAAATAGTGCAATGCAATTCTAGGGTCTTCATTATCTAAAGCAGGGGTCTCAAACTCGCGGCCCGCGGGCCAGTTGCCAGGAGGGGCGGGGCATGGGGGAGGGGCCCTGCGGCCTTCAAAGCGCTGGCGGCACCCGGGCCAGCCTCTGGGAGCAATGTGGGATGAGCGGCCCACCATCACCGCGGTGGTGGAATCCTTGATGTGGCCCAGCCTCACCCAGACTCTACTTCCAGCGGCCCCCAGGTAAGTTGAGTTTGAGACCCCTGATCTAAATGAAATATTTTGTTAATTTCCTTGAAAAACACTTTACAAAATTTCATAATATTTTCACATTGCTTACCGCATATGGAAATAAGTGGTCACTTTATGACCACATTGCCAACATATGTTGAGATACTTGTTATCCATATGATACAATTTTACCATTGTCAGGTACTATTTTCATACTAATTTGTAGAAGTTTTCCTTTCAACATTTTCTTATCCCATACTTTCCCCCATTCTTCCTTACTTATATCCCTTCTTAAATCCATTTCCCATGAGACCTTAAGAGGGTCCTACTGATCCACCACTTTATTTATTTATTTATTTATTTATTTATTTATTTATTAAAACATTTTTATGCCGCCTCTGGGCGGCTTACAACAATAATATCTTATAAATTATTTTAATAGTTAATGCTACTCAATCTTCTGTTTTGTATTTTATATGTATTTTCTTAACATATTTTAACATGTTGTAATTAGTTTTTATTGTGTTTTATCTTAGAACTGTGAGCCACCCAGAGGTGCTGTGGCACAATTGGGAGGCATACAAATACTTTAAATAACTAAATAAATTTTACTTATTCTTCTTGTTTTATTATCTTGTTTTTCCTTTTGTTACACAATATCTTCACATTTACCAATATCTTCTCATTTGCCATTTTCTTTACTATTTTTTTAGTCCATTCTTCTTATTGCATAACATTAAACCAAGTTATTTTTCCTTTCCTAATACCACTTTTATCTTTTCCTTATATACTCTAGCCAATCTTTTAACCTAAGTATTTGTTTATCCTTCTATACTTTTCTCAAACTACCTCTCAAATTTTCTGGAAATCTTTCTATGATTGGGATTAGTGGTGAAATTGTTGGCATGAATATTTCCCTATACTTGTTCCAAATTTGCACAAAGTTCTTAAGTAAAGGGTTCTTGATCTTTTAAATTATCTTCTTATCCTGTTTGAAAAAATAACCCACAAGTTTTACATGGATCCGTCAGTTTGTTGATATTCTACTTCTGACCATATTAACTATTCATATTGTAACATAATATCTGGTATATGCTTCATTTGATTGACTACATAATTTGATTTTATAGTCAGAATACCTAATCCTCCCATTTTTTGTAATTAATATCACTTTTTAAAACTAATCCTTGCTTTCTTGTTGCCGTTTCAAAATTTATTATTATTATATTTTGCCAATCTTCTCGTTCTTTTCTCAATAACTTAACTGGTAACATCCCAAGCAAAAAATTAAATCTTAGGTAAAAAAAAAATCATTTAATGTACTCTAACTGCTTTCTGAGCTATAAAGCAACCTGTTGGAAAAAAGATGTACAATTATATATGTATCCTTGACTACAAGCATAAGTACCCTAGCACATGCTTATTATTATTATTATTATTATTATTATTATTATTATTATTATTATTATTGATCCTGACCAGCCAGTATGAAATATATTGTTCTTATTTCAGACTTCAAACCAGACGTAAATTTCTACTGGATGCGTGGTGAGACAGTTGTTCCCTGTGGCCATCGGAAGGGCAGGATTGACCCTCTGAGATTTCAGATTGATGATAAACCACACTGTCAGATTCGTATAAAAAAACAGCTTTCAGAGGTACAGATACTCTGATTTTTTTTGTTCACACATGTGACTGTTTAGTGTTTGGATAAATTAGAGACATTTCTTTTTGTATTGGGAAATTGCAGAGGTGGAGCTTGGGTGTACGTGTCCAGTGGACTTGACTTCATATGCTTTTAAAGTGACTTGGCTGAGTGTTCTTTGAAAAGTAGTAATTTGAATGAGGGAGAATAAATGGCTGTGAACCTATGCTTCCTCCAAGAGTGTTCCAGGGACATAGGATTATTCTCCCCTCCTGAATCCTCCTATGACTTTCTGAGGGGGCTTTTTGACCCTCGTTCCTTCCCCCAAGCAGCTACTCGCTTCCAAAATCTCATATGCGATCTCACATGACCTTGTAGAGGTCAAAAAAGGGTGTTATGGTGGATGGAGGGTATGGGAGAAGCTGGTATCTGCAAAATTCTTTAGCCTCTTGAAGTCCAGGCCCAGCATTGTAACACCTGGGGATGGAGAGAAATGGGCTTCTATTTTTCTTCTAGAGGCCTGTTTAGAAGATAAGAAGGAAGGAAACGTGAAAACCATCTCCTTCTTTTCTCCCATCCTGGTGGCAGCAGCCCAGCAGTTTATAGGAATCTCAGATGTCTGTTCCATCTAGGAGGCAGCAATCCAATGTGAGCTTAAGGAACCACATGGATATAGTATTTCTGATTATACCATTAAGAGCACAATCTTGTAGAAGTGTTGAGATGATCTTCCTGTAGGTTGCATCCTCCCCAGAAGGACTGGAATACAACCTGCACACTCGACTGCCCCATTCTCCTAACTTAAGTTCTTTCTGCACCAGCGGTGGGGTTGCGGTCAGAACGGAATTTGAAGTATCGTGTATCTTCAAACACTGCCTAGGGGCCATAGGTTTTCTTCCTAAACTAGAAATTGGCATTGCTGCCACATTGTATATGTTGCTCATATATTCGTATCCATATTGCGCTTCCTGCCACTTGAGAAGAAAAAGCAGATACTTTGCAGGTGGTATAGATCTGTGTAATCAACTTCATGAATTGGAATTTCCCTTACACAAGAAGGCTAGCGGCTAATTGAAAATTCAATCTAATTTTAGATCTTGAACTTCTGTGGTTTCCATTTAACTTACTTATCTATTAATAATATGAATAAGAATGTCGTTATTAACAATTTGTTCATTTTCTGAGTTGGTTTTTCTCCTTTCTTCAAGTTTATGCCTCTGGACTATATATCTCCTGAAGAAATTCCTCATCTTAAAGTTTTACCAGACAAGCTTCCTTTGTTCAAAAGACAGTATTATAACAAAATATTTATAGGTAAGACTGCCATATCAACATTCTTTTATATAAAATCCTTAGTCTGTTCTTCATGTACAAACATTGGATGTTTTATTTTCCCTTTTAACTATAAAGTGGCTTGATATTTTAGCTTTATATTAGCATGAGATGCAACACATGTTATTGCTGACTGCAGACATGACAGGCGGGTCACTGTTGTACCTGTATTGTACATAAGGGGCAACCAAGGTTGAGGGAACACATTAAGTCTATGGTTGATATGCCATTTGAACTGGGAATATTGTGGCTTGCAATTCAGCCCTAAATTGAGCTGAATTGTGATTTTGAAGATAATACTTTGCAATAATCATTATATTCTAGTAAAAAGTAAAACACTTGCTTAACAGTAAATTCATTGGTAAGCCAACTTACATGTGATTGCAGAACTTTTGGGTGCCAGCATTTCATGTTTAAGTTTTCTGTTTGTCAGTATCATCCTTACCTAGAATTTTGAAGCTAAAACAACAAGGGCATGCTAGGTGGACTGGTACTTTTCTTAGCTTATTTCATGTTATGTTGCACAGAGAAAGAACTGAAATAATTCTCTCTTGTGCCATGTAGGTTCACGGATAGCAGATCCATGTACTTATGGACATACACAATTTCATTTGCTTCCTGAGAGACTAAAGAGGGAGAGACTTATTAAGTTGAATCTTATTGATCAGCTTGAAGTTCCCTCTCGTGCCAATGCTATTGCAAGTCTCTTTGCTTGGACTGGAGCACAAGCAATGTATCAAGGTATGTCAAAAGTTAATGAAAGACTAAGGGAGGGCTCCTAGGGCTGCTATGCATTGTCTGTGGGGGCTGTTCAGATTCCTGGAGCTGAAGTCAGAGAGAGTGCTGCAGCCTCAGAGCTGGGAGTGCTCACTTTGATCTGTTCACTCCTCTTGCTACCAGCACAGAAAGAGCCATGCCAGGTGCCTTTCCAATCTCAGCCTTGGAGAGGTGGGAAGGGAATGTTTAAAAGGGTGGAGTGAGGTGGGGAGAAGAGTAGAGTTGCAGTATAGAAAGTGTCCTGATGGTGCTTCAGCTGCTTTTCCTCCACTTCTGAAGTGCTGAAAATAGAGTTAAAATGGAGAGTGGGAGGTGCAGGGAGGAGAAGCTTGCTTCTGTACTGCAAACTCAGCAGCCTCTGAATTTGAGAAGGTATTATACAAGCATCATGGGTACAGCTGATAGAATTGTGGCCTAATACATTCTTTGACTTCTGTAACTTACTGGAGTTAATTCAATAAAAACTTGAGGTTAATAAATTAAATGCAGAGCTGATTGACAAAGCTAACATTTAGAAGTTGATACAGCCTTGTGATCCTAAGCTATTCAAATGGAAATTCATTAAAAATGTGGAGCATAGTCTTTCTGGTTGCCAAACTGGAGCTGGTTTGTGAGCTGCTGTGGCCCCTTATAGGATCAGGAAATGGACGTAATATGCACTTATTGTTAGTTGTGATTGCATAAATTTTCTGCCAAAAGAGGACTATTGTGGTGATACTTTTATTTGTATAAGGATGTAATCTTGAATCATTCATTTTGACAGTCCCCATTTTCTCTTCCCAGAGTTGGGAACAGATACCTTATATAGTGCAGTAGAGGAGAGAAATGTTGAGTGGAGAAAGCCACCTCCTGTCCCTGGTCATTACGTACTAGGTTGCTAAGTTTTAGTATTTGGCTCAGTTTGGTTGAATATTGGCTAAAAAGTTGGAAAGATTATAATATGCATAATTTATAATGCGTGTGCCTTAACTGTTTTTGTTTACAGAAATGTGCTTTTGTTTATCTGTTTTCCTCCCTTCCTTCTCAGGATTCTGGAGTGAGGCTGATGTGACCCGGCCCTTTGTAGCACAGGCTGTGATTACTGATGGAAGATATTTTGCTTTCTTTTGTTACCAGTTGAACACCTTGGCTTTAACTGTTGATGCGGATAAAAACAACCCAAGAAAGAATATTTGTTGGGGAACTGAAAGTCAGCCCCTGTATGAAGCATTAGAAGATAATGATGTAAAAGGTTTTAATGATGAAGTTCTGGTTCAATTGATTACATTTCTCTTAAACAGACCAAAGGAAGAATAACTTGAAATTCAGATAATCTGAATCATGTTAGTGAAACAAGTTCCAATGTTTTTTTGTCTGAATGATTAAAAATATAACCATTTTGAGCACTATCTGTACACAAGATTCTTTAGCAAGACTGGGAGTTGTATGAGATTATTGCTGGTGCTGTTAATTGTCTTGGATTATATATTTGTTTGCAGAAAGATGCATCTAAATAGCTGTTTAAATGAACTATCAAGGCCAACATTGTCTCTGTGTGGTGTATTGTTTTATAACTTAGTTGCCCTGACAGGAAGATGGAGGTAGCTGTTAGCAGCCTAGTAAAAGACAATATTCATGGTACTTCATTTCATTGTGTCTCTTTCTGTTCCTGGTAAAAACATAAAGCTAAAGTTGGTGTTGAAACAGAAGAGAACTGTGTTGTTAAATGTTAACCATACATACTGAATGATGCTGTGATCTTTTGGTATTCCAGTTTGCACAATTGCTTTACCAATTTGAAAGTGTCTAAGGGGTTTAAGGCAGTACTTGAACTTGAAATGTACAAACGTTCAGTACACAGTTCTACAATTTACTCAAGTGTAGAAATCTCTTTTACAGATGCAACACCATATAAATGAATTTAAACAAAAATCTTACTTGATAATTTGAAATCAGGCTTTTTTAGTTGTGCTTTCCTCAACTCTACCATACAATTATAAATTTGGTCAAAGTAGTCCCATGCGCCTTAGCTTTAATTGGTATATATTACTCAGTTCTGTGCTCTAGTCACATACAAGTTATGTATAACATACAAGTTTACATACGCTTTTAAGACAGAATTCATGCAAATTTATTAAAATATAGGCTGCCCCACTTCAAGTTGACTCTACATTCCTACAAGTATACAAAAACAATCTCTTACATCTTAATTTTTTTTAGGATATTTCTAACCAGTCCAATCTCTCTGCATCTCTGCATGGCTTACAGCAAATTCAATAAATACAATATAAATATCATAAATATCCCAAATAATATAAAACAAGATAACCCACAACTGAAATAAAAAATAAAATCTATTAAACATTAAAATATTGGCTGAATAAAAAGGTCTTGACCTGGCACCAAAAAACATATAATGATGGCACCAGCCAGACCTCTCTCGGGTCCAGTTAGGTCATTGTAATGGTTTGTATTCATTTGTTGTTCCTCTGCTGTTGCAAGGCTTTTAGATCAAGCGGAGGCTTCCGCCAGTTAAACCAGAAGGAGGTGACTCTAGTTCATTCTCATTCCAGCCCTTCCCATTTTCTTCAGTGCTCTTTCAAAAGATCCTGCTTCAAGAGTTTGGCTACAGGGGAGTATAGAAATGTAGGTAATAACAATATAATAATCCCCAGATTTGGATTTGGAGAGAAGGGCAAGACTGCAACTAGAAGGGAAATAAATAAAACTTTTTATTTATTTTTTATTTATATCCTTTTTTCCTACAAAGGGCTCAAGACAGCTTACATCATTCTCCTCCTCCATCTTATCCCCACAACAACCCTGTGAGGTAGGTTGGGTTGAGAGTCTGTGACTGGCCCAAAGTCACCCAGTTGGCTCCATGGCTGAGCGGGGACTAGAACTCAGATCATCTGTCTGTCAACTCTGGAGGAACCAAATGTATATGAGTGAATGATGTTGCCATTTTCCAGAACTAAGAAATAAATTGAATGGGATGAAGCATAATCTGCTTGCTCTGCCAGTCATACAGGTTCCAGGCTAATGCAAGATGATCAGTATAGATCCTAGAACAACTTATTGTGCAATAAATAGAGGGCCTGGTGTGAGGCAGGCTTTGCATTCAATATACTCAATAGCATTCAAATGCAAGCTGACATTGTATTGATTGTTTGTGATCTGTCTTCAAGTGACTTACACTGGACATAAGCTGTCATAAGGGGGTTGTATAATGCATAAGGGGGGTTGTATATGATGGTTGTCAGAACTGACAGTGATTTAAAGTACAACATGGTGGGCAGAGACGCTAAATAGTTTTCAGTAGGGGCTCAAAAGGCAAGCACACTTCATCTAATAGAATGCCCTGAACATAACTCCTTCCTTCCTTTTTGCTAGCAGCACCAATTAAACTGTATGCATCTTAAGATTCTGACTTGATATTGGGAATTAGAATTTAGAAATGAAGGTGCTGAGCACCAGATGGCACTGTTGACCATTATGTGGAATGAAATGCAATGTCTGTATTTGCCTGCTGTAAAAAGTGGCTTCTTGAAAATACAGGAATTGCTTTTTTAAATAAGATACTCATTTGAAAGCTCTGCTGATAATCCTTCCCCCTCCCAGCCTGCATTGGTTCTTCAGACAGTTGTATCTGGATAGGTGTTTCTGTTTACTTTTATGCAGGCTCTATTTAAATCAAAATACCTTTTATTTTGAACTACTTTGGTGACTGCACCAGTCATCCTAGTCTTATCCTGCCATTGTTGCTCCCTTAGAAAAATATACATAATGTCTACTATGGTTTTAAAAACTGTACAGTGTTTGACTTTAAAAAAGATTCTCCTTGGGCATACATGTCCTCCAACTGTCACTTACTACCTCTTACATAGTGAGCAGAAACATTGCACTTCAAATGTCAATTCAGTTTGATAGATACCATCTTCTTTGTACAATAGCCCTGTGATTCTAAACTTAAAATAGTAAAGATATGTCAAAAGCTTGATTGTCATGATCCCGTAGTGGCAAAAAGCAGATCAACAGCTCATTTGAGTTGGATAATTTCAGTACCCAGCTTGACTATTGGGCATTTGTTAACCACCAATGACTTTGTGAATCTCAGACGGTTGAAAATTTAGCAGAAATGTAATTTCTTAGCTGGGACATTCTGCATAATACAGATACGATTGAAAAATCTGCTTAAACTCATGGAAGGGGGCTGGACATTTTGGCTTCTTCCAGCTACATATCATCTTTTAAAGTTTGTCTGAAGGTATCCTTGGTTTCAGAAGCCTTCTCTTGCCATTTGTGAAGTGAAAATCTGTTCAATAGGTGCAACTGTAAAGCATACTTAGGTTCATAGAATAGTTTCATAATTGTTTGGAGCCTGCATTGTTTCCTGTATGTGCACAGCACTGTAGCTGACTGTACCTAATGTTTTAATCTCCTTACATACGCACGCCTGTGCATCAGCCAAGTACTTTGTGAGTTTTTAAAGTATTCTAGCGATACTACTGTGCCTTATTGTTGGTTTCAAACAGAACATATATTTACTGTCTTACTGACTGGGAACAGCATGATCTGCCTATAATCCAATTGAGATGTTATTGTGATTTTGCAGCAACTCGTGTCAAATTGTCAGTGTGAAATAGTTGCTTACCTTAGCGCTAGACACATCACTTGTAGTCTCCATCAAGGAGTTTGTAATTATGTGGAAAGAGTGCAATTCCAAATCTACGGCAGTTCCCTTGTATATATAGCTGTCAGCTGGCAACTGCCACATAGAAGATTGCATTTTAATTGTTCTCTGTCTGATTACCTTTGCCATGTTTGTATTGAGCAAGTGCAAATCTGTGGGCTAACAAACCTGCAGGGCATCCTGCAGGAACAAACAGCACTAAAGCACTAGAAGCTGCCTATATCTAGTTCACTATGGAAGGATGGATGTGTTTGGCTTCCTGAGATGTATATAGATTACAGTGTAATCACTGCTTATAGCTTTCAAGCTTCTTCATACACAAATGTGTCATGCTGGGAGCCCGTCATGTTTAGGAAAAGACTGGTAGCAAAGTGATAAGGCTTCTTTGTGACTCCAAGTCCTTTCATGCATCATTTGAAATCTTGATTCAGTCAAATAAAGATTTTTTGCTTAAGATTTTCAAATGTTTTCCTGTTTGTGTTGTGTCTTCCCTATGAATTCAAGTCAGCCTTTGTCTCAAACCGCTGCCCTCCCTTTATGTTGGATTGTGTATCCTCCCCAACTAGCATGGCCAGTGGGAGTTCCAGCCCTTCATACCTGAAAGGCATCGGACTGGAGAAAGCAATAAATCTCATTTGACTTAACTGGAATTCAGGTGAATGACTCAGGTTTAGAGCCACAGGGTTTTGTTCTCAAAATTAAATCCCCATGCTTTTTCCCAAAGCGCTGCTGTATAGCTTTTTGAAAAGTACTTGCAACTTGGGAACTCTATCAAGGATATAAACCATTCAAAACAAAAATTCTGAAATTATTCAGAGGGCTGGAATTTCCTGCGTGTGCTTTGTGCCAGGCTTTGTACAATGAGGCAAGCAGTGCTGCTTTTCCATGCACCTGAAATGGAAAATACTTGCACAGCAGAAATGCACCTGCATGCTCTCATATATCAGACAGTAACAATAAACAGAGCAAATATGTGCCCTGTTTCATGGTCTCTTTTTCACAGAGCTGGTTTGATTCCGCAACGTTTTCTTGTCTTGACTTTGTAACTGAAAGCCTTTGTGTAGGTTTGTCAAACGATGTCCATATGAAATCTTTCTGTTTGATACTGAGTGTGTTAACGTGAAGCAGACAAAGTGCTCCTGGGATCCCCCTCCCCACCCATTCTGTTCCCTTGCTTTTCCGAACATGAAGAATCGGGGCAGAACATGACGGGAGAGAAACAGTTGAACAGAGCTCCAAGCTTACTATGGCCAGGGTGTGCCTTGCCAAGCCCCATGGAGACAATCGAGTTTTTACAGCCATGGCCTGCTAAGTTGACCCATTTTCCCCACTCTTAATTATTCAGTGAACTTCATCCTACGATTGAAGAAGAGTTCTGCTGCTCTCACAGCCACATCCCTGTTTCTCATTTGCCTCTTTCATTGTGTTTTCTTACAGGTCCTTTTTCTGTAGTAGGTTTGTCCGTCCATCATTGCCATAGCTCCAAGATAATGAAACATGGAATGCATACCAAGGGGGACCTTAAAGTGTGCATCTTAGTGACAGATTTTATTTTCCTGGGCTCCAAGATCACCGCAGATGGGGACTGCAGCCAAGAAATTAAAAGACACTTGCTCCTGGGGAGGAAAGCTATGGCAAATCTAGACAGCATTCTAAAAAGCAGACACATCACCCTGCCAACAAAAGTGCGTATAGTCAAGGCTATGGTTTTCCCAGTTGCAATGTATGACTGAAAGCTGGACCATAAGGAAGGCTGAGTGCCGAAGGATTGAGGCGGCCTTTGAATTGTGATGCTGGAGGAGACTCCTGCGAGTCCCTTGGACCGCAAGGTGATCAAACTGGTCAGTCCTAGAGGAGATCAACCCTGACTGCTCTTTAGAAGGCCAGATCCTGAAGATGAAACTCAAATACTTTGGCCACCTAATGAGAAGGAAGGACTCCCTGGAGAAGAGCCTAATGCTGGGAACAATTGAAGGCAAAAGAAGAAGGGGATGGCAGCGGATGAGGTGGCTAGATGGAGTCACTGAAGCAGTCGGTGCGAGCTTAAGTGGACTCTGGGGGATGGTGGAGGACAGGAAGGCCTGGAGGAATGTTGTCCATGGGGTCGCAATGGGTCAGACACGACTTTGCGACAACAACAAAGTGTGCATCTTGGGATTATTTTGTTTTTAAAATTATTCACTTCAGTTAATATAAATGTGGGCAATGTCTGGATGTTGAAGCCTGTTGCATATCTTCA